CTAAAAATAGATCTACCATTTGACACAGCTTATCCCACTTCTGGGAATATATCCAAAGGAAATGAAAGAAGCTTATGAAAGAGTTACCTGCACTCCCATGTTTATAGCAGCTTAATTGACAGTAGCTAAGATATGGATGGAATCAACCTAGATGTATATCAACTGATGACTAGATAAAGAAACTGTGATATATAGATGTCTGTGTATGATAGAATATTACTCAGCCATAGAAAAATGAAGTCTTGACATTTGCAAAAAAATGGATGCAATTGGAGCTTACTCTGTTAAGTGTAATAAACCCAACACAAAAAACAAATACAATATGTTTTCTCTTATTTGTGGTGGTTATTATAAAGAGAGAGTATAAAAATTGGTGCCAGTGTTACGGTTCCATGGGTTAAGCCAATGCCTGTGATGCTAGTATCCAATGAGACCTGGTTCAAATCCTGGCTGCTCCACTTCTAATCAAGCTACCTGCTAATGCATCCAGGAGAACAGCAGAAGATGACCCAAGGGCTTGGACCTCTGCCACCCATGTGGGAGATGCAGATGGAGTTCGAGGCTCCTGCCTTCAGCCTAGCCGAGCCTCTGCATTGTGACCATTTGGGGGTTGAACCAGTGGACAGAAGATCTCTGTCTCTAACTGCCTTTCAAATAAATAAATCTTTAAATAAATAAAAATTTAAAAACTGTGTGGATGTCATATCATTTGGCAGACAGCTATAAGTAGTGCTTCATTAAAGCATAACATGTAAAGTATAATATATTTTTTCACATGTTAAAAAAAGAAATGGAGGGGGGAATAGTGAGGGCTCTTAAAGTACTAGGAACGCTTCATTTTTAATTAGAGTATTGGCTATGACGTGGCAAAAATAACCAAAAAATTAGTTTATCTGTACAATTATATGCATTTCTTGGTATGAATATTGTATTTCAATAAAATGTTTATTAAAAGGAATATCCTAGATTTACAAAATTAGTTGACAATTGTTTCCTCTTTTTTCTATTTTCTTGAAGTGCTTTAGGTCAGAATTGTTTTCTTTCTGGAATTTGATATGGAAGGCTTTTGATAATTTCTTTAGTAGCTGGAGGACTAGTTTTGTTTTTTGCAAAATAATCAGAGTTAACTTCGGTAACAAATTTCAAACATTTGTCAATATTGTCAATATCATCTAATTTCAGATATATTGGCATGAAATTGTTCTTTATGCTCTTTTATTACCTATTTTATCTGCTACTCTCTTTTTATATTGATGTTCAAAGAATCACCATCCACTTGGTTAAGCTTTGTGGTTGGTTTTCAACATTAATAACCTATGTTCCTAATTAGTCTACACAATTGCCTGTATTTTTGTGGTCTCAGAATAGACCTGGTCATGGAAAGCCAAAACACTCTGGGAAAAAAAAAAAAAAAAAAGAGGACCTAAATGAAAGACCTCTGTGAGTGAGATCCCAGTAGAAAGAACAGGTCACCAAAGAAGGAGGGACCTTTCTCTGAAGGGAGGAGAGAACTTCCACTTTGACTATGACCTTGTCTAAATATGATAAGAGTCGGTGAACTCAAAAGGCTTCCATAGCCTTGGAAACTCATGACAAGAGCCTACGGTGATTACTGATGCCATAAACAAGAGTGTCAATTTGTTAAGTCAACAACAGGAGTCACTGTGCACTTACTCCTCATGTAGGATCTCTGTCCTTAATGTGCTGTACATTGTGATTTAATGCTATAACTAGTACTCAAACAGTATTTTTCACTTTGTGTTTCTATGTGGGTGCAAACTGTTGAAATCTTTACTTAATATATACTAAACTGATCCTCTGTATATAAAGAGAATTGAAAATGAATCTTGATGTGAATGGAAGGGGAGAGAGAGCGGGAAAGGGGAGGGTTGCAGGTGGGAGGGAAGTTATGGGGGAGGGGAAGCCATTGTAATCCATAAGCTGTACTTTGGAAATTTATATTGATTAAATAAAATTTACAAAAAAATAGACCTGGCCCCAGATCTTTTGCATCTTGGAAACTGAGGCAAGGGCACCTCCCTCTGACTAAGTCAGGAAAGGTTAGAGATTTGAAGGAAGACTCACTTATTCAGGGCACTAATCTCCGATTCAACAGCTTTACCAGGAACAAAGAATATGTTGTGGTATGAGCCCCTTGATACTTTTATCAATTGATCCATAATCTGTAGATTACCAGTGAATAGTTTAAAGAGATTTCCTAAAAGCTAGAAATTTTACAAATTTTTAAATGCTGCCAGTTAATGTACTGCTATAAAAGTAAAGACATTTGGACAAGAAAGAGTCTCTTTGGTTTGAAGAAATTCTAATTTATGCAAAAACTGGAATTGTATTTTCCCTCTAAATTATTGTATTTTTATATGGAATAAAAATAAATGATCCTGGGGCGGCGCCGTGGCTCACTTGGTTACTCCTCCGCTTGCAGCGCTGGCATCCCATATAGGTGCCAGGTTCTAGTCCCGGTTGCTTCTCTTCCAGGCCAGCTCTCTGCTGTGGCCCGGGAGTGCAGTGGAGGATGGCCCAAGTGCTTGGGCCCTGCACCCCATGGGAGACCAGGAGAAACACCTGGCTCCTGGCTTCGGGTCAGCACAGCACTGGCCGTGACAGCCATTTGGGGAGTGAACCAACAGAAGGAAGACCTTTCCCTCCGTCTCTAACTCCACCTGTCAAATTTAAAAAAAAAAAAAATGATGATCCTAATTCTTCATATTTACTTGAGATTACTATCCCTAAGAAAAGGAAATTGATGCAGAGGAAAACAAAAGACAGAAGTTGGGTACTTGGCATAGCAGTTATGGTACTCTTTGGAATGCCTACATCCTGTGTTGGAATGCCTGGGTTCAAGTCCCAGACTGCTTCCAATTTCACCTTCCTTCTAGTGTGCCGTGGAAGGCAGGTGATCAAGCACTTGGGTCCTTGCCACCCATTGGGGAAACCAGGATTGAATTTTGGGCTACTGACTTCAACATGGTCCAACCTTGGCTATTGTAAACATTTGGGGAATAAACCAGAAGATGGAAGTGCTCCCTACTTCTCTACTTGCCTTTCAAATAAATTTTTAAAATGGGTTTTTAAAAACAAAAAGAGAGAGAATGTAATAGTCTATTTTTTAATCAGATATAATGAAAATTCTGATTTTACATGTCATGAAAAAATAGTGAAATGGAGATTACTTGGAGAATTATAGTACACTAACTACTCACTTGCCACACAGAACAAATTATGATGTGTAAGCCTAACCACAAAAATATAATCCTCTCACACTTTGAAATGTCCTGTGACTCAGGACTTACATTTTTTAAAAGAAAACTATTACGAATTCCAAAACTATTTTATAAAAGTACCTTTATTACAAGTTTATTATCTGGAGAAGCTATATTATTCCACCCAAAGAATTCATAAATATTGATAGAATCATGTTTTCCATTTAAAAATATCAAAAGATCACATTTAAAATGGTAAAAAATGATATCCATGGGCTTTAGTCCAACTTCTAAGAGGTCCAAGGAACCCCTCACGCAGCCAGGGTAGCAGGAATAGTCAGGTTTCCTCATGAGAATTTACAGCTTAATTTCTAGACACAACAGGAAGGGCTAATATTTTTGTGATCAACAAGGAAAAAATATTCCTGAAAGGAAGGAAAAACAGTCACATTAGTAGAACTAATAGAAAACTATCAAATAACTAAAGAATCATTGAGGCTCAACAAAGCAAAAACATGGGAGGAGAATACATCAATTTTAAGCATCCAGAAGCCATTATAATATTTTAATAATTCAAGTAAAGCAGATGAGACAGAGAAACAATAAATGCTACATAAGTGGTCATAAATTTTACATGAGCATATTGTCTCATTTTGAATTATGAGGGCCAGTTGATATATGGAAGTCTGTCCCTGGGTCATATTAAAAGTCAAAAGCTATACTTTATCTGAATATTTCTTAGATTCATTTAAGAGAATTCTTTTATAGAATTTAGTTCTTTTAGGACAAAAAACTGATGTAAGAGTTGGCATACATATCAGTTACAATCTTCGTAGAAATTCACAATCCCATTCTATATTCATATTAGAATCCAAAGATGTTATGTTTGTCTGGGGTGGATTGACAATATTAAATAGCCATGGAGGTTAAAATGGCATATCATTTATATTTTAGAAGAGAAAATAAGAAATGCTAAGATTAAATATATTCCTAACAAAAAAACTGCATTTTTTAAAGATTTATTTTATTTGAAAGACAAAGTTACAGAGAGAGGCAGAGACAGAGAGAGGTCTTCCATCCGCTGGCTCACTCCCCAAATGGCTGCAACAGCTAGAGCTGCGCCGATCTGAAGCCAGGAGCTTCCTCCAGGTCTCCCATGCGGGTAGAGGGGCCCAAGGACTTGGGCCATCTTCCACTGCTATCCCAGGCCACAGCAGAGAGCTGGATAGGAAGTGGAGCAGCCAGGACTAGAACCGATTCCCATATAGGATGCCAGCGCTTCAGGCCAGGGCTTTAACCCGCTGCGCCACAGCACCAGACCCAAAACTGCATTTTTTTAAGATTCTATTTGTTTGAGGCAGAGTTACAGACAGAGAGGGAGAGACAAAGAAAGATCTTCCATCCACTGCTTCTCTCCCCAAATGGCTTAGACAGCCGGAGCTGGGCCCATCCAAAGCGAGGAGCCAAGAGCTTCTTCCAAGTCTCCCACACAGGTATAGGGTCCCAAGAACTTCGGCCATTTTCCACTGCTTTCCCCGGCCATCAGCAGAGAGCTGGATCAGAAAAGGAGCAGCTGGGATACGAATCAGCACCGTTATGGGATGCTGGTGCCGCAGTCAGAGGCTTAGCTTACTACAGTGCTGGCCCTAAGACTGCGTTACTATAATGATCCCAGATTAAACCACATGAGCACATTTCATTGATTCATTGCATTATTATTTCACTTTACTGTTTTTATAGGTGCACTGCAAGCATTTATGGTACCAATTCAAAACACTCTCACCTAAATGATGCTCCTGTATGGATTCCCAAGCATTCAACTTTACATGATAGTGAGCACTTCTGTCCTATGGGCCTTTTGCATTCATGATTATTATCGTCTCTCCTTTTCATCACCAAGGTCATTGGAAACACTCTGAATAAAAGGAAAGTTTCATAGAGTTGAGCCTTGTGTATATTAGAATTTTGGGGGAAGGAATTGGGTAGAAAGACAAACTAAATCAGACAACCTTCCTTGGTTGTAAGCAAAAAAAAAATCAACTATTATGGGCAAAAATGGAACTTTGTTATTTCATACAGTTCAAGAAAAAATGCTAACAGAATATTGGATACAGTTTTTCATTACCCCCAGAAAATTCTACTGACTTCCAAAGCTCATTAATAGAAGTTCCCTATACCAGAAACTTTTGATAAGTGGCTGAAGTAGATATATTATCTCTAATCATCTCACCACTCAGAGACTAATTAGAGACACACAGCTTTGGGTTCTTGGCCTTTAATAAAAAGGTGAGAGGGGGACTGCTAAAGTTCTCCATTTCATTATGATGCCAAATAAGTATGTTTTAAGTTAAACTCCTCTCCCAAACACCGAGGATGCCGCCAACAGGAGACCGATTCCTAAGTGGCTGTTTATGCAGCAGACTCGCACATGAGATATATGGAAAACTAGAAAGTGGGGTTGGAGTAGAACATTTTCCTCCAGCATACATTGTAGCATGACTAAGTAATTTTCCTGTAATGACCAGAGTCGTAGGTATTTTTCCAGGATATAACCTAAGCATGTCTATTCAAAGGAGAGAGGAACTCAAAAGCCAAATGCTAGAATGAAAAATGACAACCAAGACAGCAAACAGAGAAGTTAGCTGGAGGTCTTTGATGGGAGTTGTATGAAAGCAGGCCTAATCTATACTATTCCATAAAATATTGTGCAGTTGGGAAGACCATCTCCTATGAGGGTCTTCAATAATTTCATGGTCCCTTATTTGACATGCAAGGTGAAAGCATCATTACCTGGCAAGTATTAGTAAAACAGGTGCCAGTAAACCACAAAACCATGAGATACTTAAGACTCTGCCTCTTTCATCCTCTGTCATACTCTTTTTTTTTTTTTTTTGACAGGCAGAGTGGACAGTGAGAGAGAGAGACAGAGAGAAAGGTCCTCCTTTTGCCATTGGTTCACCCTCCAATGGATGCCGCGGCCGGCGCACCGCGCTGATCCGAAACCAGGAGCCAGGTGCTTTTCCTGGTCTCCCATGCGGGTGCAGGGCCCAAGCACTTGGGCCATCCTCCACTGCACTCCCGGGCCACAGCAGAGAGCTGGCCTGGAAGAGGGGCAACCGGGACAGAATCCGGCGCCCCGACCGGGACTAGAACCCGGTGTGCCGGCGCCGCAAGGCAGAGGATTAGCCTAGTGAGCCGCAGCACCTGCCATCCTCTGTCATACTCTAACAAAGAATGAAAATAAAAGTAGGAGGGAAAAAAATATACTTGCAATCATATGAAATCTTCTCCTCCCAACCCTTTGTGCCCAGAGTTGTAAAACTTCAAGAAAGGAAACCTAAATTTAACATTGAAGATATGGACTTGACTTGATTATATGTTCACTGTGAAAAGGACCAAAGATGTTATTAAAGAGTAAGAAAAGCAGATTTCATCATAACACAGTTGAAATAACTGATTACAAGATAATCAGACATTTAAGCCTGTTTCTCCACAAAGGTCAGACCATTGGGGGAGGGAGGGAAATTGGAATGAAACTGCATGTGCAGAGACAGCACACAGGCAAGTGCGTCGAATCTTGAGATTGACCACAAGCAGAATTCTCTGATCTTGTATCAATAGGCTCTTCTCCTTCATTGTCCCATTGAAGGAGTGTTCTCAAATAAGGAGAGAATGTGGCTCATTAGCAAGTTCTGATTTTTGTATCTCATAGGAAGTCACCAGAGATGGACTGAGCTCTGGCTTTAAAATTTTGGAGAAACACTTCAATTTGGAATCTCTTGGTTCATCTTCCACATCTGCAGATGTACAGTATGGTCTTTAAAATTTTTAAGAACTTGTGTATATACATGCATAATACCTGTGAATGGGGCAACATGGGGGAGTGGGCACAAACAAGGAATATTCCAAGAAAGCAAAATTTACCAAGAAAAATCTAGTATAATCTCTGCTGAACGTATATTTAATTTTCATGTGCCAAACAAGCCTCATTTACTCATTTATAAAATACATTAAGAGAATCAAATTATTATTTTTAGATGTACTCATATTATCTAACATAGACAATATTTGGTCCAACGCTTAATCCAACAGTTATACTTTCATCAGAACACCTACAGTCAAAAATAACATTAGATAACTTTAATTTTGATAGTCTACTAAGCTTACCTTTGAATATAACACGATATTGGGATGTGGCCAGTAAAATCTAAATTCATCGGCTCATATGTGATTGAACTTTCAATGAGAATAGCTAATGGGTATTCCTAAAGATATAAAGGGTATAAATTATCTTACTTACATCTCCTTCAAATAGTTTCAAGATTGTCTACTTATTGCATTTTAAAAACTATCATCATTTTGACTTTATGACCTAGAATAGACATATACATGCAAAATGTAAGAACAGCACAAGAGCTAAGTGATAAAATGTGATTTTAGCATATATTAATATCTTCTGTTATAGTGTCAGGGAAATTGTGTTTATTTGACAGTTAAGTATGCATAGGCAACTTTTGATCATTATATTTGTATTAAAGTCTGACTTGGCCGGCGCCGCGGCTCGCTAGGCTAATCCTCCACCTGTGGTGCCAGCACTCCCGGGTTCTAGTCCTGGTTGGGGCGCCGGTTCTGTCCCAGCTGCCTCTCTTCTAGTCCAGCTCTCTGCTGTGGCCCTGGAAGGCAGTGGAGGATGGCCCAGGTCCTTGGGCCCTGCACCCGCAGGGGAGACCAGGAGGAAGCACCTGGCTCCTGGCTTTGGATCAGTGCAGTGCACTGGCCGTAGCAACCATTTGGGGGTGAACCAACAGAAGGAAGACCTTTCTCTCTGTCTCTCTTCTCTCTCTCACTGTCTAAAAGGAAAAAAAGAAAAGTCTGACTTATGAAGACTAAGTTACTCTGAGTGTCAACTCTGGATGAATATGGACAACTTCAGAAAAGGTTACATCTTTCCTATCAATAAAATGAAGATAACAAATAGTTGGAAAAATGCTTTCTAAAATGGGCCAGAAAGATAACATTTTAGTCATTAAAGACCATTCTGTGTCTATGATAAAATCCATTGTGGTTTTTCACTGTGAAAGACACCATATACAATAATTAAATGAATATAACTTTGCTCCAATTAAATAATTTACACATATAGGAAGCTGGCTGGATTCTGACCTATTGGTCATAGCTGCCAACCATAGATTTAAATCATGATTTGTAATAGTACATTCAATACAAGTAAGAGCAATCAAACTAAATATTTCTAAGGAAACCAATTGAAATAAAAATTCAGTCCATTCGGTTACCTTCAGAGTAGTGAATTTCATAGAGTGAAAAACAATTAACATGCATGTAATTATATGCTACAATATAGAATACTTATATTCTATAAGTGGAACACATAAGGTACTATCAAAAGTGACTGCACTCGGGGCTGGCACCGTGGTGCAGCAGGGTAAAACCCTGGCCTGAAGTGCCAGCATCCCATATGGGCGCCAGTTCTAGTCTCAGCTGCTACTCTTCCGATCCAGCTCTCTGCTGTGGCCTGGAGAGCAGTAGAAGATTGTCCAAGGCCTTGGGCCCCTGCACCCACGTGGGAGACCTGAAACAAGCTCCTGGCTCCTGGCTTCAAATCAGCACAGCTCCGGCCATTGTGTGAAGTGAACCAGCAGATAGAAGCCCTCTCTCTGTGTCTCTCTCTCTGTAACTCTTTCAAATAAATAAAATAAATATTTTTTTAAAAAAAAGTGACAGCACTCAACTCTCCCATGTGTTCAAATATAGTCAATTCTTGCCCATGATTCATCTAACATCTAGGGAGTATGTTATTCAAGAAAGCGTGCTGGTATCTCAGATAATCCAAAAGCAAATAAAATTGTCATGGTAAGAACTTTTAGAGTTGAACATTTTACAAGACAATATTTATTATGCATTCAAGAATTTCATTATGGGAGCCGGTGTTGTGGCATAGTGAGTTAAGCCGCCACTTGGGATGCTGGCATCCCATATGGGTGCTGGTTTGAGATCTGGCTGCTCCATTTCCAATCCAGCTCCCTGCTAACACACCTAGGAAAGCAGCAGAAGATGGCCCAAGTGCTTGAGCCTGACTAGCCATGAGGGAGACCAAGAAGAAACTCCCGGCTCCTGGCTTTGGCCTGGCTTAGTGCCAGTCATTGCAGCCATCTGGAGAAAAATGGATGAAAAATCTCTGTCTCTCCCTTTCTCTAACTCTGCCTGTCAAATGAAAAATAAATCTTTTTTAAAAAGAATTTCATTTTAATCTGAGTTCTCACAAATAGGAATATATCGGCCCATGCTCTGCAGAGCCCAGGATATTGGGTAGGAACTGATAGATAACAGAATCACAATCACACTATCAAATAACTTTTCCTCACTCTCCCCCAACAACCTCAGACTTTTCATTTCTCCAAGTCCCCTCTTTCTTAATTTCTGCCTTCAGAAGTGGCAAGTAGAGACCTCAACACTTTCTGCTTAAAGATTACCTGTTTGAAGTCCGGATGACAAAGAGTGAGCCTCTTCCCTAGAAATCCTGGTAAAATCCCTACAGAGTTTCAGTTTGAGCATTTCAGTTTTCTGAATGAAACTTGGCATAGCCTTTCTATTTATCTTCCAGATATCTTGGTTCCTATAGCTGATAAACTGATGTTTCAATATGGGAGTTGAGTTGTATTGACTATGTGTTGAACTGAGAACTTGCCATGTTCTGGACTGCATTTTAGATACTTGAGATAGAACAGCAAACAAATGGGGTCATGTACCTGTAACCAGGAATATGTACAGATTCATTTGTACCAAATGGAGCAGACGTGTTTCCACCAAGGAAAACCAAATTGTCAAACACAGCAACAAGATAACAAAGGAAAAAAAAAAAAAAACTTCTGGTTTCAAGAAATATTGACCCCTGTTTTATTAGTAAAGGAACAATATAATCTGATATAAACTATGTCTATTGGAATTTTAGGTCAACAGCAAAAGAATGGGGGATTGAAGAGTTACTTCAAATTAAAATGTTTCTTTAAAATTAGGTTTTACCACAGAGAATATAAAATCACTCTATCAAAGGCAAAAGATCTTCTGGTAGAATGTAAGCAAAAGAATGCATAGTTTTTAAAACTCCAAGTACTGTCTCTTTTACTAGGGAAAGAATTTAAAAACTTGAGAGAAATGAGTCAATATTATGAGCTATAACATTAGCCAACAATTAAATTTCAACAGCTCAGTTTTGATCACTGATGCATAGCCATAAAACAATCAGAAATATATTTAAACAATTGCTCTTACGTTCACTTTGATGTCACATAAACTTAGGAGATAAAGGAACTCAAAGAAGTCTGTCTCAATGATATTTATGGGGCAGCCACTGCCTAGATACAATTCATTGTGCTGAGGTTGTAGATCATGTATTATAGGCGTTCGTCTAATTCTAACATGGAGCCAAGATGCAGTACAGGTTACAGACACTGGTGAAAAAAAAATACAGAGAAAACATTTAATACATCTGTCCCCAAATAATGGCTCAGGAAACTTTCAACCTCCTAACTCAACTGAATTCCCAACTAGAAAGGAAAAGTGTTTTTCTATTAATATATTTTCCCACCATGAAATTTTGGGTAACTTCTCTATGTGGCTAAGTTGTTTTTTTTTTTTTTTATAAGAAGGTAGAAAAATCATAGGCGATAATTCCTGAGAAGTTCTAAACTAAATATCTTTCTGGTCTTTTAGTGATCTGATTTTACCAGCAGATCTCATAAATGGATTTGCCATATTTCCAAGCATAATGGATATAAATTTTAAAAATAGGAATAGAGGGGCCAGCGCCATGGCTCACTTGACTAATCCTCCACCTGCGGTGCTGGCATCACATATGGGTACCAGGTTCTAGCCCCAGTTGCTCCTCTTCCAGTCTAGCTCTCTGCTGTGGCCCAGCAGGGCAGTGGAGGATGGCCCAAGTGCTTGGGCCCCTGCACCCGCATGGGAGAACAGGAAGAAGCACCTGGCTCCTGGCTTCAGATTAGAACAGCTCCGGCCATAGCGGCCATTTGGGGAGTGAACCAACGGAAGGAAGACCTTTCTCTCTGTCCCTCTGTCTAGAACTCTACCTGTCAAATAAATTTTTAAAAAATAGGAATAAAAAAGCTTTGATATTTGGTTATACGCAGTTGGAAAAATGTATCCTATGCTTCCAATTAAATTTTTAAGTTGCATCAAAACATTTAAGCTTTTTAATATTACCTGATAGAATATATAAGGAGCTCAAGAAACTCAACAACAAAACTCAGCTAAGAAATTGGCAAAGAATATAAACAGGCATTTTTCGAAGGATGAAACACAAATGGCCAACATACACCTGAGAAAAATGCTCAGGATCACTAGCCACCAGGGAAATGCAAATAAAAGCCACAATGAGGTTTCATCTCAATCCACAGGTTTAAAAAAAATGAAAAATGGAGAGGGAGGAATAGTGAGGACTTCTTGGGGTACTAGCAATGCTTTGCTACTAATTTGGGTGTTGGCTATAAGGGTGACCAGATGACAGAAAACACTCATGGATCTGTACACTTAAGTGCATTTCTAGGTATGTATACTATTACTTTCATCAAATGTTTTTTAAAAATTACCTGGGGTGCTAGATGAAACTAGAAAATTCTGAAATAAAATATCATCATCGTTGCTTAATGATAACTTTTTATGACTGCTAAGCAAGTCGAATTCTTTGTCTTATTTAATTTTTATTACATCCCTATAATGTCAATTTTATTACAATCTCCTACTTACTGATAGATAAATTTAATATCACTTAGCTGTTTGGCAGCCGAGCAGGATTAAAACCTACGCAAGACCTGTTGGGCCCCTCGACTCTGAAGAGGAATCATTTACAGTTGAATACAGCTGACTGCAGTCTGCCCAAACGTCACACTGCTTGGCAACCAAATGCAGAACTAAGCAATTTCCTCTCTGGGTAGCCGCAGTCTCTCGATTTTGCAAGTCACTACAAGTACTTCATATTCTGCAAAGTGACAAACCAGCCTCTAAACATAAGAAAAACCTGAAGCATTTTACCCAGCAAAGAAAAACACCAAACCCAGCATCTTGAGATCAACCAATAAGACAGACTGAAGAGGAAGCACAGTGGTGAAGACAGATGGAAAAGTTTCATACATCCAGCTGCGACCCAACATCATGAGTTGTTGGAGCAACATAGTCCATAAAAAGCAAATGCCTGGAACTGGAGCTGTGTCGTGGAGAGTAAAGCCACAACCTGTGGCATGGAAATCCTACAGGCACCAGTTCGAGTCCTGGCTGCTCCACCTCCAATCCAGCTTCCAGCTAATGCACCTGGAAGAGCAGCAGGAGATGGCCTGAGTGCTTGGGCCTCTGCACTCACATGAGAGCCGGAAGAAGCTCCTGGCCCCTGCCTTCATAATTTTTTTCTTTTTACTTGGCAGGTAGAGTTATAGACAGTGAGAGAGAGAGACAGAGAGAGAAAGGTCTTCCTTCCGTTGGTTCACTCCCCAAATGGCCGCTACAGCCGGATCTGCTCTGATCTAAAGCCAGGAGCCAGGTGCTTCTTCCTGGTCTCCCATGAGGGTGCAGGGGCCCAAGCACTTGGGCCATCCTCCACTGCCCTGCTGGGCCACAGCAGAGAGCTAGACTGGAAGAGGAGCAACTGGGACAGAACCCAGTGCCCATATGGGATGCCAGCACCACAGGTGGAGGATTAGTCAAGTGAGCCACGGTGCAGACTGGCTCCTGCCTTCAGATGGGCACAGCTCTGGCCATTGTGGCCATTTGAGGAGTGAACTAATGGATGGAAGATCTCTCTCCTCTCTCCTCTCTCTTTCTCTCTCTCTTTCAAATAAATAAATCTTTTTTTTAAAAAAAAAAAAAAGCAAACCCCCAATTCAGCCTATGTTTGAAATCATTCCGGCAGCTTGAAATCACCGTCTCTAGAAATCCCTCCTTGGCTTACATTCCGCAGAACCACGAACAGACACAAAAAGCATGAGGAGCCCTCCTAGCACGCCAGAAACCTTCATTATTTCTTCAGATCGCAGCCCACAGTGCCACAGGAAAACAGGAGGGCAGGGGCCGTGCCTCTGCAGGTGTTTATAAACCCCTTGCCTTCTCAGCTGTGGGAGACGATTTCTCAGGCTGGAAAGCACGGAGTAGCCCTCGGCATGGCGTTGGATTTTCCTCCTCACAGCTGAAGCTACAATTATATGATGGCTCTCTCAGTAAGTTGTGGAAAATGCAATAACAAGGTGAGTTTATTTTCGTGCAAATTTTTTTGAAACCCATACATAATTTTTTCAAAATACTCATTTTTCATCAACTTTTTAAAGACCTTTCACATAGGTAGATTTCAAAAAAAAATTCTGAATCCATTTTCCAAAACTTTTTGAAGTACTCGCTATAAATCAGAAAATCAGGGGAGAAAATGTGAAAAGTTCTACACCGTACACCTCGCCAAGGCACCTTCCCTAAAAGTGGGTATGAAACTGTCCTTCACAATATTTGATTTGTGCTTATTGGACTGTTAAAGCAGGGGTTTGTAGGACAAGTTGAGGGAGGTATAGAAGATTCTTGGGTGGATTGATTAAAGATATTTGAAGTTTGTATACCTTAAATAAAATTTAAAAATAAATAAATAAGGAATACTTAATATACACACACAAAAAGATATTGTATATCATGTTTACTCTAGATTCTCATAAAATGCCAATGTCCTACCTCCCCGTCAATTACTCAGATCTAAAAAACCTGGGAAAAGACGCACTAATCTGTGCTTATAACAAGTTCCAGGAGATTCTGATTGAAGTAAACAAATCCACACAACCAAGGTCTAAGCTTTGCAAAACACAGAAAACTTGCTTTCTGGTTTTTCTTTCCAAAAAGGTGCTTTTCATAAATGTGTACATATCCAAGATGCTGTTGCCTAGGCTTTATTTTGGGTAATTAAACTTATAGTAGAAAATCTTGTATGGCATGGTGGGCTCTGCCTCCTCCTGTGGCACTGGAATCCCCTATGGGTGCTGGTTCGAGACCCAATTGCTCCACTTCTGATCCAGCTCTCTGCCATGACTTAGGAAAGCAGTGGATGATGGCCCAAGTCCTTGGGCCCCTCCACCTTTGTGGAAGACCTGGAAGAAGCCCCTGGCTCCTGGCTTTGGATCAGCTCAGCTCCAGCCATTGGGGCCTTCTGGAGAGTGAACCAGTGGATGGGAGACCTTTCCCTCTGCCTCTCTGTAACTCTACTTCTCAATAAATTTTTTAAAAATGTTTTTAAAAATTAAGTTTGGTTTAACAATTGACACTCTTATTTATGACGTCAGTAATCACCCTGGGCTCTTGTCATGAGCTGCCAAGGCTATGGAAGCCTCTTGAGTTCACCAACTCTGATCTTATTTAGACAAGGCCATAAGCAAAGTGGAAGTTCTCTCCTCCCTTCAGAGAAAGGTATCTCCTTCTTTGATGGCCCGTTCTTTCCACTGGGATCTCACTTGCAGAGGTCTTTCATTTAGGTGGTTTTTTTATTTTTTATTTTATTTTATTTTTTTGCCACAGTGTCTTGGCTTTCCATGCCTGAGAAACTCTCATGGGCTTTTTAGCCAGATCCAAATGCCTTAAGGGCTGATTCTGAGGCCAGAGTGCTGTTTAGGGCATTTGTCATTCTATGAGTCTGCTGTGTATCCTGTTTCCCGTGTAGGATCCTTCTCTCCTTTTTAATTCTATCAATTTTTATTTGCAGACACTGGTCTTATTTATGTAATCCCTTTGACACTTAATCCTATCTTTTTGATAAAGTATGAACTTAAACTGATCACTTTGACAAGTAAGATGGCATTGGTACATGCCACCTTGATGGGATTGAATTGGAATCCCCTGGCACATTTCTAGCTCTACCATTAGGGGTAAGTCCAAGTGATCATGTGCCGAACTATACATCTCCTCCCTCTCTTATTCCCACTCTTATATTTAACAGGGATCACTTTTCAGTTAATTTTCTGTTTAGTGTTCTTGCAAAACTTCTTAGATTTATTCACAGATATTTGATATGTTCATGTTATTACAAATATATTCCTTTCCTTTTTTAAAAGAAGAATTTAAAATAAAAAATTTATTTATTTGAAAGGCAGAGTTACAGAGAGAGGGGGAAAGATCTTTTATCTGTTGGTTCAGTTCCCAAATGGCCACAATGGCCAGGGCTGTGCTAGGCCAAAGCCAGGAGCCAGGACCATCTTCCAGGTCTCCCACACTCATGCAAGGGGCCCCAGCACTTGGGCCGTCTTCCATTGCTTCCCCAGGCAATAAGCAGAGAGCTGGATTGGAAGAGGAGCAGTGGAGACACAAACCAGCACCCATATGGGATGCCGGCGCTGCAGGCAGACAGTTAGCCTACTAAGCCACAGTGCTGGCCCCAAGTCTGTTTTTTTTTCTGTGTGGTTACTCATCTGTGAACAATGCAATACCATTTCTTTCTAGATAACTGTTTTATCTTTTGTTCCCTAATGTTGCCATATATTCCACTCAGAACTTCCAACATAGAATTGAGTAAACTGGTGATAGTGGGTGCCTTTATCTTACTCCTGATATCAGAAGAAAACATCAACATTTCATCATGAAGTATGCTATTTGATATAGAATATTTAGTTAAACTTTATTAAAAAGTCCTTTTTAATGTTTTGCTTCTTTTATCACTGCTGACAAATTTTATCACTTTTTTCTGCACCAACTATTATGATCATATTATTCATTCATCTAGTATCATGATGAAATATTTTGATAATTTTCTAATATAAATTACAAATTTCCTTGTAATTGGAAACCTAATTTATCATCATGTACCATCTTTACTTCTGTATATCTGGAATTCATTTATCTAACTTTTCAAAAGAACTTTTACTTCCATGTATATCAATGAGAATACCACCTGGTCTTTTCTTATTCTCTTTGTCTGGTTTTGTTATCAGTACAGTATTACCCTAGTTCCACAAAAGGAGATTATTGTCCCTTTATCAGTTCTCTCAAAGAATTTGCTTAAAATTGAATTATTGGGGCCTGTGCTATGACATAGCAGATTAAACCACCGCCTGCAGTGCCGGCATCCCATATGGGTGCTGGTTCGAGCCCCAGCTGCTCCACTTCCAATGCACCTGTGAAAGCAGTGGAAGATGACCCAGGCTTAAGCCTCTGCACCCACCTGGGAGACTTGGAAGAAGCTCCTGGCTCTTGGCTTCAGATTGACCCAGCTCCAACCATTGTAGCCATTTGTGGAGTGAGCCAGCAGATGAAAGACCTCTCTCTGTCTCTCCATCTCTCTATGTAACTTGGTCTTTCAATAAATAAATCTTTTTTAAGAAAGATTGAATTATTTTCTTCTTAAATATTAAGAACTAGATTGGGCTCTGAAGGGTTAAAATGAAAGCTTTTCCGTGTCCTTGTCTGCACCAAGAACTCCAAAGCCCAGAGGCTGCATGTGCTGTTTTTCTTGTGGGCCTGGCTCTCTGTCAGGAAAAACAAGCTCTATTTTTTAAATACAAAACAGGGACAAGTGTAGGTGTGCTCTCAGATCTCTAGCTAGCTCTTGGGAAAATAAACACCTTACCTAGTCACACAAGGACACTTAGATGAATGCCACCTTTATTCAGAATAATTTTGAAGGAACTTGGGAGGTAGAAACTTTGAAATTTCACCCATCTAGGGGAAACTCTGTCAGGGACCCCCCACCCCATCAGGACCTGAGAGAAGTGTTCCAGGATTCCCAGGCATGATATTTCAGAAGTTGGTGTCTTTCCCTAAACTAGTGATGTTTTAATGATATGTTTCTGGGGATGGTGCTGTGGCTCACTTGGTTAATCCTCTGCCTGCAGCACCAGCATCCTATATGAGCACCGGGTTCTAGTCCCGGTCACTCCTCTTCCAGTCCAGCTCTCTGCTGTGGCCCGGGAAGGTAGTGGAGGATGGCCCAAGTGCTTGGGCCCAGGCACCCGCATGGGAGACCAGGAGGAAACACCTGGCTCCTGGCTTCAGATTGGTACAGTTCCTGGCCGTGGCCAGGACATTTGGGGGATGAACCAACAGAAGGAAGACCTTTCTCTGTCTCTCTCTCTGTCTAGCTCTATCTGTCAAATAAATAAAAAAAATTAATTATATGTTTCTTTCTCTTTGATTATAAATAAATTTTCTGTTTCTTTGTCTTCTGATTGCTGGATCCTTACATTGAGTGCCTTGTTGCCCATGGATTCGTCCTTCAAATAGTTCCTTAATGCTACAGCCTCTTTTGGCGGTGGTGGGGGTGGGGAGTTTCTTAGTTGATGATGAGTGCATGGAGTGGCTTTATAACCAGAAATTCCAATCATATTATAGATCCAAATAACCAGATGAGTGTGGCTCAGGAATCCTCTACAGTGAGGTAGAAATTGTATGAACAGGAGCAGAGAAAACATGGACAATTTGGGATCTGCAACTCCATAAAAATAGCTCAGGAGAAGCTGGTGCTGTGGTGTAGAAGGCTAAGCCTTCTCCTGCATTGCCAGTATCCCATATGGACAATGGTTCAAGTGCCAGCTGCCCCACTTCCAATCCAGCTCCCTGCTAATGCACCCAAGAAAGCAGCAGAAGATGGCCCAAGCACTTGGGCCCCTGCACCCATGTGGCAGACCCAGATGAAGCTCCTGACTCCTGGTCAGCCTGGCCCAGCCCCAGCCATTATGGCCAATTGGAGAGGAACCAACAGATGGAAGATCTCTCTCCCTCTCTCTCTCATTGTCTCTGTCCATCTCACCTCTTCTTTCTGTATCTTTGCCTTTCAAAGAAATAAATAAGCTAATGAAAAAAAAAAAGAAAGAAAGAAAGAAATGAGACTATCTCAGGAGTGTGCCTCTGTCTGCTAGATATATCATCCAAGAAGTTACTGCCTCTACTGGTCCAGTGGAGACCCAGGTGAAAAACCTCCTAGATCATGCATGGGTCTGGTTCACTAATGGCTTTTCCAGGTAACTTCTAAAGGAATGGACTAAGATGAGGCTATATTCTAACTGAAAGAGAACTCTTTCCT